ATGAGAAGCAAAGAGCACCTGGAAGACCAGCATCCACACACATTGGGGCTGCAGTGTGGGGCTGTCGGCACCGCCTGACAGACGCCTGGACAGGCAGACTGCAGCCAGCAGCAAAAATAAGGAAAGCTGAACCTTTGGAAGGAGGGAAAATAAAGTTCTTACTTCTTTGTGTGATTGTCTTTCTGCTAGTGCCCAGTTGGTGATCTGAGGTTTGTGTTGGTGGTAAGAAATTTAGTAAAATTCCCCTCCAAATGCAGACTATTCTGCCTGCAGCAACCTCAGCCAGAGAAAAAGACTCTGCTTCCTACAAAACCTAAAAAAAAAAAAAAAAATCCTGGAAAGTGTTTGGACAGGAAAAGCAAACGATCTTCTAAAGATAACAGAGTTTCAGAGCAACTACTGAAGCTACAGGATAGGAAACCTCCTGTTTTAATCTGAAACCTTCCAAGTCCTCCTCAGAATCTTCCTGTAAGGAATATCAGCACCAGATAAAAAAAGAAAGAAATAAAAAGGGAATAGTGCCTTTTTCTCCCACACCTAGTTTGTGAAAAGAAAATAAAGTTTATTCATCAAAGCAGAGCAGGGAGACCAGCACAGCTAGGGCTTTTACACCACAGTTTTGCTATGGTAATCAAAAGTTCTCAATAATCCGGAGGAGAGTCTTAGGGGTCAGAGAGGATCTTGTTATATGTGTGATATTTGTGTATGGTCTTAGATAAATGACTGAAGTTGACCGGAGTTTCACACTAACTCACGTGCATCCAGGACCTAACAGAGACCTTATTTGTACTGTTTACTCAGCCATGTCCCACTAAGCTGTAATGATGCACCAGCAAAAAGAGTAATTGGTTCCTTCAAAATAAAAAGCAACATTCAGTTTTTAAATTCCAGCTGTGACAGTCACAAAAAAATGAATTCATGCTGTGCCAGACAGACACTACTGCCATATACACCTTTTTCTCCCATTTTAGAGGAAGAGGAAACAGTATCACCCAAGCTACCTGGCTGAGGGAATCTTTGGCATAGAACTTTGGAAGTCACTGCATTTTACTTACCACGAAGTGATAGGATTTTGGCTTGTGCTTGCACTTCTATAATTGAGTTCCCTTCCCACGATGAAACTAATGGCAAAGAGGGCATTTTGAGCTTTTAATGGTGCTTTCACAGAGAGATAACTGTATTTCACTCATTCATACTGATTTTCATCAGTGGATCTTAGAGCATTTTAGAATGGTCTCCAATCTGTTTGAGAGATGAGGAAATGGAGGCACAGAAGCAAGGCTGGGTTGAGCAGGCCACGAGCCAAGGCAGAATGGAGAGCAGCGCTTCCAGTCTTAAGGTTTTCCCTATCCCTCATTTGCAGGAACTCCTTAGTATCTACTTAATGACAGTAGGTAAGAGGAAAACTTTATAAAGCAGGGAGTGTGAGTAGCAGTGTAGCTTGCATCTCCAGGAAGCCCCAGATACGAATATTAAACTATACAATCTGCAGTCATATGGCTTGCCACTTTGTGTTCCCTCCTCAGTAACACTGTTTTGGTATGACTGTAACAGGCAAAGGAGTTAAATCTTTCACATTTAAAACCTCCCTAGTAAGTCTTATGTCTCCAGTTTCCACCAGTGTATTAGTACTAGTCCAGTCTGAAAAAGAAACTGGTTTTTCTGCTTGGGCTGGGAAATCCTATGGCTTCTCATGTATCTTATGTGTGGTACAGGAGTTAAACACTGACCTTGCAGTTCAGTTGTTTAGGCCCTGAGTGACAGAGTAGCGACTGGCGAGGCAGGCAGTTGTAATGTGTCAACAGTAACATTACCCGCTGCTGCGGGGCTCCCCTCACAGCCCCGGCGTCCTGTTCATCCTTCGCCTTAGAGTCACTGCCCAGTTTATTTCAAATGAACCTATGTGGGGATTTCTGCAGTTTCTGAAAGTGGCCTGGATAAGAGATTATAGGCACTTGAACTAAGGCGCCCAAAGGGCCAGGCATCTTGGAGTATGGGGAATAAAGCGAGAGAGGAGGACAAGCCTCTGATAATTGTGGCACAATTAAAATCCTTGCTGCCAAAGAGTATTTGACAGTTGGGCGCTCGGAGCCGTGAAGAAACAGGCACCGTGTGCTGGAAGTTCCTGCCCTCTGCCGGGCTCCGGAGGATGAGCCCCGGCTCAGCCGCGCGTCTCTGCTCCCGCCCCGGCAGGGCTGTGCACACTCGGCTCCACAGACTGCCCGTATTTATAAAGCAAACCCTCCAGAACATGGTTTTTGAGGAAGCGTAGAGATGACAGCGCCTGACACGGATCTGAATCTCAAGTGATGTTTTCTATCGACTTCTGAAATGCTTTTCAGATGTCTGTCTGCTTCTCACCTTGTTCGACAGCACAGGGATTAGTATGAGGCATCTCCACGTACTATTACAGTTCCCATCTGTTTTCTTCCAGAGAGCACATACAGGAAGGAGAAACAAGATAATAAAAGTTATGCTTGTTGTGGTGGTGATTTTCATTCCACTGTAAAAAAAGAACCTGTGCCTTCTTAGCATAATGAATTATTTCAACAGTGCAAATTTGGTTAATTTAGAAGAGTAACTGCTACATGATACAGATACCATCACACTTGGCAACCACTCCAAGATGATAACAGCATATTTATAGTTTTTTGGGTGCAAGGCATCACCTTAAATCTTCTTTAGCCTTAAACCTGAAACCTAAGCATCACCTTAAACCTTTCATTCTTTAGCCACCTTCTATTAAGTAGAAAACTAATTTTCTAGTTAAAATGTAACTTCAAAAAACACATTAATCTGCTGGTAAAATATCCAAACTCCTAATATTCTTCATCATCAGAACCACTTTAGAGTGAGATGTGAAAACACTGCCCACTGGGTCCTGCAATGCTTGGACATGCAGAGGAGCATGTTTTAACCAAAGGTTCTGCAAAGCCACAAGACTGTTCCCTGTGGACGAAGCTTTGTGGGATACAACTTGAATGGCATCTCACATTTCCACCTTCTTATACTACAACCCTTACACTTCTCTGTCTTATACTTGTGCTTTAAAATTCATGTTATATAGATTAGTAGAAGGAAAAGATATTCATAAAGACTGAACTGGTCTCTGCTGCCATGGTATTTTGGCAAAGTCATATTTTTTTGCTGCATGTTGCTACTCTAGAGCAGCTACCGCAGTTTGGGATTATTTTATCTATTCCTGCTTGGGAGTACTGTGTAATTATTTTAGCACCTTGGTTTGAATCTAGAAACATCCCTTTTCTTGTTGAAGCCAGAATGTTCAACACAAATGAATCAGAAGAGAAGATCAAGGCCTGATCTGCTTGGTATAGTTTATATTTTGTTTTTCCACAGAGTTCAGCAACCTCTTTATTGTACAGCAATATGCACCTTCAAAGGGGACTGTATGGAAAAGTGTCTCCCTTGATCAGCTGTGTGCATGCAGATTTTTTAATATGACTCCAGTTGCAGAATACTAAATAAAAGTTGGTAAATTCATCTGTTTGACACTCACCTTGACCTGGATTTCTTCCATCTCATGAGTTTATCTAGCTAAACTCTCTCTCACCTTAACCATAATCTTCCATCTCCTAGGCAGGAGAGTAGCAAACCAGATCTGCGCAGCAGACTCATGTCAGGCACAAGTATCTAGAGCTGCACGGGTACCACACGTGCAGTGTGGCACAGTGACAGGTAACAGGGGTTCGTGTTCAACACTGCCCTAACACCAGTTCTGCTTCTCACCTGTCTCCTCCTCTTTAGGTCCTGTCACTAGTTGCAGGCCAAGCTCATCTGTGGCACCTAGGTCACAAGAACAGATTTCTCTCTTTGTTTTTCCCCATCATCTATCAGGGCCACCAGGTCTCTCTACAGGAAAGAGAAGAATGACATCCAGATTCTGACATGCACAGATTTCATTTAATTCTTTCTGACCTTTTGTTCTTTTTACTAAATGTTAAAGCAGAAGAGCAAAAAACAGGTTTATCAGCTCACGGTTAGTTATAGCCTTCAACTATAAATTCTGTGTTACCACAGCCATTGCTCTTCAGGAGGTTATTACTAGTAAGGCACAGATATACAGCTTACAGAGATACTTACAGGAGCCCAGGAGCCCTTGGCAAATAAAAGATTCTCCAGACATGTCCTACTGTCTTTTATTGTGCTGTCTGCCTCTGCTGCAATAGTTTCTACCAAAGTGCCCCTTGTGAGGCCCAGAACCTGCTAGCCAGCTAACACAGCTTTATAACTGCACATCTGAAACCCTTCCTGTGCTCCCTGCCCACCTCAAAAGATTCATCTGCTGCTCTTCAGAAAGCTTCCAAGAGTTGAATCGACAGCTATTTGCAAGATGACAACATGAGCACTTTGAGGGTTCTTGCGATTTGGAAGGTTGGCTTGGTGAAGAGAAGACTTAACGCATGGTAGTGCAGAGTATGATGTCCTTTCTCTGCCCCTGCTTCAGTCCTTGCAGTTTCTGTCTGTCACAGCCACCCCATGATCCTGTTAAACTGACAGGGGCAGACAGGCCCCTACCTTCTGCTGGAAGAGGGGAAGCTCTCCTACCCTCTATCAGCAAACTCACAGCAAACACTAGCCCAAAATTAAAAACAAAGCTAATACCTATGATGAGAAGCAACAACATGTTCATTCTGCCAGCAAACCCTCGCTGCACATGACAGACAGGAATGAAAGGAAACACTGCAGCCAGAGGCCTGCCTCAGTGCACGGCTAGCAGCTCTTCCACAGCTCTATTCCAGAAGAGTATTTTCCACAACACCATGAGAAGGAAATAAACACAAGATCATGACAAGTCCTTTGTCCGCATTAAGCATAAACCACAGAATTGATTTTTTTGGAAGTACTACACAAACCTAATAAAAATATTTTCCAAACAGGTCTGGATTACAATGAAGCTGCTAGCCCAACATGTAAAATATATATTTATTTAGCACAAAAAACTCCACATTGAAACAGACATATGTTGTTTTTGGTGTAGTTCTTTAGGGCACTTTGCTTTTTTAAAAAATAAAGAATCACCACAAGTAATACAAAGACATAGATAAGCATCTGGCAAAATTACTGCTATCCTGCAGCTCTAGGTCTCACAGCAGTTTATAAACATTAAGGCAAATCAGGAACTCAAGTGATTAATCACTATACAGTTCCACTAACTTGAGTGGAATGTTCACATGGAAAAGTTTACAGGACTAGGACAGTGACTGCAACCACTCCTGTAATTCCAGACAGTAACTGCACCGATTCCTGTAGTTACAGCCAACGTAATTGTGATGTAGTTATATTCCCACACAAAGAGACCATCAAGACATTCACAGAAAGCTGCCAGAAAGACTGGCAGAAGAGTCTGACCATTTTATACGTGATTATGACATAATTAAGCACAATTCCCATTTCAGAAAAAAATATGTAAGTCATTATATAATGCTTGGGATTAGCACATTGAGACTTTAAAGTCTGCAACTTCCATTTAGAAACAAACACTCAGTAAATATACTGATAGCAACTGACAGAACAGAAATACTGCTTACAACCTGGTACCATAAGTGACATAGTTGACAATCACTGGATACAAAAAACACCCAAAATACTAGCAGGTATCTTCCACAGGTGAAGATTCTCAGTCTCCTTTGCTGGAGCTTCACAGTCCCAAGTGACTGAGATCAGAGATGTGCAACTAGTTCAGTCTTCCCTCCTGTAGTTATCACCTGGATTAGACTCCCTGAGTTTGGCCGGTTCTTTCCTGTTATCCAGTCATAAAAAGTTCTGTTTCAAAATAAATTAACAAAAAGGGATGAGATGCAGAAGCGGGGGGGAGGGGAAGCAGTTAGTAGATACATTGACAGGAAACATAAGATGAAAGCCTATTGCTTTTCCTACTCCTCCTGCAGAGGTTTCCATCCGTGTCCCAGACTTGCCATGTGGTAACAGGGCTCAGAGCCTTTGTTGCTAGATGGAGACCTAGAGAAATCAGGAGGGCTTCACAGCGTGCACACACACAGCACTTGCCGAACACCTCAGAGGAAAATACCAAGAACTGAAGCATCTAGGCGGTAGCTACTTACGCCATCTTTATTGTATGCATCAGAGATGAAAAGTTATAGCTACAATACTTGGTAAACATTACAGGCTGAATAATTTTTCTTTTTCCCCATAATTTCGTTCTCTACTCCCTTTCTCTTCCTCCCCTACTGCTGCCTGCAAACCTAGCCAAGTTCTCTCTCTTTCCATGTCATTCCTTGACTCACTTTTTTAAATCCTTCCACCTGTGCTTTGTCAATAGATATTCAGTAACTAACTGTGAAATGAACATGGTCTCAACAGAAGCACAGGAAGCCTTAAGTTATCCTATGCACCATCAGCTAGGCCAACCCCTGTGGGTTGACCCAACAGGGTCAGCTGGAACCACATCTAGGAAGGTTTCAGATATCTCCAAGGATAAAGACTCCACAGCCTCCCCGGGGACCCTCTGCCAGTGTTCAACCACCCTCACAGTGAAGAAGTGCTTTCTTGTATTCTAGTGGAGTCTCCCCTGGTCCCGTTTGTGCCCACTGCCTCTTGTCCTGTCACTAGGGACCAAAGGGCAATATTTTTCAGGTCTATCAAGCCTTCCAGTATAGCATATATCACTATTGCCATTTTAAGAGGTAATGGAATCCAATATAATGATTTTCAAGGCACAACAGATGTCAGAAAGTAAGAATGCACATTAGTTCCTGCATCCCTCCAAAAAGAAATAATGTTACCAACTCTAACAACTTTAGTTTCTTCCTGCATTAGTGGGAACTTCTGCTTTCAAAATTGAATTTTAAGTTCAGAGAATTAGACACCAAAAGAATTAACTTAATTCTTTCACAAAAAAAAAGATTTGTAACTTTAAAGTAAGACCACAACATCTGGGTGAGCTGTCTCTGGAACACAATAGGAACTTTTCTGAGCATTTTTAGGCCAATTAAATTGACAGAGCCCTTTTAAAGGACCACATCTAGTAGCTGCATGGCCTCTGACGGAGGGGAGGAGCAGGAAGTGTCTCAGTCTGACCTCCAACTTAAGAAAAGCCACAGAAAATCAAATCACAAAGAAATCAGATGTCAAAAGTAGTCTCTTCTCAACAATAGCAAAATCAATGCAGTTTTAACATCAGTTCTAAAAGCCCTTAAATTTGCACAAGTTTATACCCTTTACAGTATCCATTTTGCATTTCTCCAAAAAGAAAAACAGCGTCCCCAACAATGCTTTCTTCTTTCTGATAGCAGGATTACTCAAAGACCCCTTCTCAAGCACCTCACAGAAGACATGTTCTGCTTCACCGTCTCTACCCTTACCTGAGAGGAATTATAAATAATAAGCCTTTAAATCTAAGCCTGCTGCTCAAGTTTCAACATTTTGCAACATCATTCAGGACAAACATTTCTGGACTAAAATTTTTAATTACAGAAGTGAATTAATATACCAGAAACTGAGCTGTAAAGGAAATAAAGAAATCAAGAAAAAAAGTCAAATGGCTCTCTGAAGTTTACATTTAAACCAGATTGCTGATGCCTATATCTGCTCTCTGCAACTTCATTTGTCTGCAGGCTTTATGAGATCTTCTCCTTGTTAAAATTGATGGAGTTGTTCTAATATTCACCAGTTAAAGAGCTTGTGCAATAAGTTTAACCAGATTTAAAGGCAGACAGAATGACGGAATAATGAAAAAAAATACTCAAATCTAAGACAGTCATTTAGAAACAACAGGCAAGAAGATGTGTAAGAGCAAAAGGGAAAGTGAGTGAATGTTTAGTCATCTCATCTATCTATATACACACATGCATGTATATATATGTGTGTATATATGCATGTATTTTTATATAATATATATTAAAATAAATATTTATATATCACACACTCACTCTACAACGAATTCTAAGGGTGTCCAGGAGCTGAAATCTGCGTCAGGCATCGATTTCCTGTTCGCTGGCGTATCCAAGGTAACCCTGTGATTGAGAAAGATAAACCTGTTATCATGTTTCCAGTGAAAATCACCTGCTTCTATTCACTGCTCTAACAGCTGCTTAACTTCTATATACCACGTGGCATGGACTTCCTTTGCATCCCCCCTACACATTTAACAGTATACAACCATTACTTGCAGTGTGCATCAAAGGCTCCCAGCCTATAACCTCTTAGCTGTCTGACCTGCTGACAACATGCAGCCCTTTCGGACAATTCAGCAGGCCCGCAGCTCCCTGCCAGCTTCTCTCCATAACAGCCTCTCATCCACAGTCATGTCTGTTCACATGGACTGCACATCACACGTGCAGAGAGGCTTTCATGCAGCCTCAGTCCAGTTGCAAAGGCAGGGATTTCCCTGCACAAGCGGGGCAAGTGTCCACTTCGGTAGAACATATTTATACTACTATACTACGGAAAAAGACAAACTGGACTTTCTTCTCATGGCCCTCAAAGTGACCTAATATTCCTACTGATCAAGCAAATTGCTTCTGTGTTAAGCGCTATACATCATCTTTAGCCAAGTATAATCTAGCAAGTAATCCTTTGCTTTACTATTATCACACAGCTAAACCTGAAGAAGTTCATCTCACTTCTACAGTTTACTAACTGAAAACCGCGTGTTGATAGATGGTTATGGTTAAACTGATTAAAAGTGGATCAGGTTTTAATCCCAACATCCAATATTGCTCTGCAAAATAAAGAAAAAAAAATATATTTTCCCTCCATTTTTTAGAGTAATTTGCACATCAATTCATACGCCCCAGACCGATCCTTTCTCTGTGAAACGGTTAAGTAGATCCAATTAGCTGACTGTTCAGTGAGGATGGAACATCAAACACATCCAAGGGGACTCTCGGTTACAGCAGTAACAAACTCAAACACTGTGGCAGGGAGGTAACCACGCGAGCACTTACGGCAGGACAGCGACAGCAGCAGAGCCGGGGGGCAAACCGCTCCCGGCGCCAGCCAGGCTCTGGCAGAGCTGGTGCACGGCTCCTTTGGCCATCCCATAGCCAATCATCCCTGGCAATTAAAAACAGGCAAAGCAGAGCACAATACAGACAGCTCTCCATTTCATTAGGATGAGGAGAGAAACTCACGTTACTTGATGAAAAGGAGGTTTAATATCATGGCCTGATAACAGAATCTGATTTTTAAAACACAGCAAGACATACATATAGAAAGAAAAAGAAAAAAATATAAATTAAATAAATATATATATGAAGAAAGCAAGCTTACTAGACACCCAGGAGATATGGCAGTACTCTGTTTACTTATTATTACAGAAATAAGCAGCTTAACAAGTTAAATGTTTAACTATGCTTCAAGACATACTCTGAAGGAAGAGAGTGATAGCGGTGACCTTTTCAAACTAAGGCAGTAAGCGTGCAGAGGCTCATGAACTTTACTAAGGCAAACACCTGTTAGTTTTGAATATAGGACTTAAATATTTGCCAGTTTGGACCTAAACAGATCCAGCTCATGCCCACAACTGTAACACTCAAACATAAGCACTTTGGAGAAAAGTGCAAGAAAACTCATGGTAGAAAATTCCTAAATAATCCGCATATGAAGCATCTTTTCCTAATTACTACTGTTTACTTGCAGCCAGTGTTCAAGAGCCTAAGTTCCACAGAAATAAGAGCACAAAGGAGTCATGGTACACTGGCAAGGTACAAGACCCAGATGACCACTTGCAAGTACTAGAGGTCCAATTTGCTGCATGGCTTATACATGCCAAGCTGTCTAGGCTCAGTCTGACCATGTAAGGCAAATTTGTTTTTTTCCCCCACTATAACTGGATGCTTTTTTTACTTGGCTATATAACTAAAGAAGCCCTTTTTAATACTCCTGAAGAAGTATTTCCTAGCACATAAAAAGTATTTTTTTAGTAGAAGTGTTTCCATTATAATCATACCGTATAACATCCTTCGGTATTAAGCAAACATATCCTTTTGTATTTGTATCAGAGAGAGGTGACCAATTTATTTTCTTGTTACTATAAAATATTTCCATCTTTCTGATGCTCTCCCTCTTATCTCTTCTCTTCAGTCTAAAATCTTCTAACCCTTTTCATGCTTCTGCATTTCTTTGCCCTCAGACTGCCTCTGTATCTATTCCAGCATTTGCATCTTGCTACAATTTGCGTTAAGCAAGTCTAACTTAATCCACATTTTTACATGGGAAAATAAAATTAATGGTAACAGCAGAAAACAAAAAGATAATTCCTTCCATGAAAACAAGTCTAACGATTCAAATTTGCAAAAGTTGAGTAACAATTCTTTCCCAGTTCTTCCTTCCTGTTAATAAGCTCCATGTGTTAGCCTAAAGCACTATGGTGTTTTTAAAGAAAATCCAGACTTATTGAAACCATCTAGTTCAAAACATGAAAGTAAATCACTTTGATTCCTGTGTTGTTGTTCCTACTTCACCCTCTCCTGCAAAAACATCATGGGAGCTTGCTAGAGGTTCACATATTTTCATCTTTGTATGGCCAGTCAGTAGTACACAATAAATTATTCATCTGCTTACTTTCATACATAGGCCTTTTAACTTCAGACTATGCCAGATGCAGTGGTAAACATGTCAGTATAAAAGATAAATCATTAACTAGAGAATACCACATACTTCCCTGAACATGGCAGAAAACTTTAAGAACTGAAAGGTTTTAGATACAGTTCTGAAACAAATTTGGGAATATTCCTATCTTGTCAAAAAAACAGCAGCCACATTAATACAACATTAATACAAAATATCAGAAAGATGAATATTTGTTTTAGAATCCTTCTCCTTCGCTACTAATGCTTTTGGATTGAATTGCTCTCAGATTTCTTCCTTTATTTAGGGCAACACACACAAAAAAAAAAAAAAAAAAGAGAGAAATCTGTATAAAGATGGTAGTGGAGCTAATGAAAGGCAAAGCTGAAGGTCACCAAGCTTATCTATGTCTGAAGCAAAAGTGGTCTGGAATCAGAACACGAACAGGGCAAACATATTAAATAGAATCAGCCGAGTCATCACTTATGGAAAAATTGGGCAATTAAGGACTCTGCCCTTCACAAAAGCAAACAGAAGATTTCACTCCATGAAAGCACTACACTTAGAGCTTTCAGCATATTTCAGTTCTTCCTTACTTTCCAAACATTTCCAAACAGCATACCACGTATTAGCCAACTACATCTCACCAATAAATATGAACTGCAATTCAAACATCCATCCTTTGTTCGTTTCTTTGCACTTTAGCTTCAATACATTTTGGTGCTGCCAGCTGTAAAATTGTACTTGACTTCAGGGTTTTAGCAGCAATTTTCCCTTTAAATAGTGTGTCAAGAGACTGAGTTACACCTGTTGCCTCACGGGAAGAGCGCTCACAGGCAAGCAAGCGCTGCCCACGTGCCCCATGGTGATGCCCTGCATTTTACCTGGGGTTCCGGATAAAGCAGCTTGTGCTCCTGTCAAAGTCAAGAGGCCTCCTTCTTTAAGGTGTTTGGTAGCCAGGTGACCGGAAATGGTGGATGTCCAAACACTCTGCTTCCACATCAAATCACAGTTTTTGTATAATGCTAATTAAAGAAGAGAATTAGCAAAAGTAACCATGAGGGAAGAGTTTTCCAATGTTAATTTTCTATCATGCCAATTTTAGTGTTTCTATGGAAATACAATAGAAGATAGCAAATATTATTATTGTTATTATTATTTATTTCTGCTTCGGATAAAATCTTTTCACATATTTCATATCTCTTCAGGCTTTGAGTCCCTCCTCTACAAAATGTATCTTTGATAATTACCTGTCTTCTCACTACTAGAAATGAAAGCTACAATAACATAGTAAATTCAAATGAAAGCAGAATTTGAACAGTCACTTGTCCGTGCGTCAAACATTATTTTTGTTATCAATATGCACAGAAGAAAGAGAAAGATGATGCTCAGGCACGACGAAGGCATTCAGTAGGAACATTTCCTTAACAAAATAGTGAATAAGCACAAGTCTCTAAAACAGTGAATAAGTACAACCATCTCCTGTCACTGTGCAGCTCCTGTCACTGCTGTGCTGTGCAGTAACAGCTCACAGAGCTGCAGGATGCAACTGAGGTCGCACAGATAAAGCGATGAACTAGGAAACAAAACATCAATGTCTGTGACTTGCCTGTCATTGAAGTCCTTTGCAAATTTAGTTCAGAGGCAATAAACACCTTTATAAAATACTTCCAAGACCTACACGTGCTCTGCAAACTGCTGCAATTCTCAGAAACACTAACGAGCACTGTGACCGAGCTGCTTTGCACCACTATGCTCATGCCCTCTCTATGATCAACAGGCATCTTTATTGCCATGATTTTTAAGGATTCCTGTAAGGTTTCATCCATGTGTTCCCTAGCACGCATGCACCAAAGGCTCACACTTAGCTTTGGCGCTGCCTCCAGCCCATCCTCCTGCGACACACAAGATTGCATCCACCTTTTCTTCACCAAGGAGTTTTCCCACCTCTGCTGTCACCTTCAACATAAAGAACAAAAACATTCTAAAGGCATTCTGGACTTTTATAGGATTAAATATCAAGGCTGTTTTTGAGGGTTTTTTTTTCCCCCCTCTCCATTTATGTAGCTGTGTTAACACAACACACTTAGCAAATTAAACAGCTGCAGAAAATTAACATTTTTTTGAACTACCAAACCAGTAATGTTGGAAAACAAGGAATGTCTGGGCATGCAGTGCGTGTGGACAGGGGAAACAACTCATCTGAGCAGGGCTGAGACCTGGCCCTTACTGTGCCACAAACAGCAATATGGGAAACTCACGAGCAACTTACGTCTTGACAGGTTCTTCTCTGGGTTCTGTGCTATTTAAGAACATGGGAGACAAAACTCCAGGTGTGGAGCACTTGGACAGCATTTCTGTGACATCCAGCACCCTTTCCCTGTCCCAAAGCGGGCCCCCGCCGTGCTAGGGAGCTCCGTGCCCCGGCACACCCACCCGCGGCCCGGGGCCCGCACGCACCTGCTCGGCCTGCTCGGGGAAGGAGTCTGCCGGCCGCACCACCACGCTGGCGCTCGCCTCCGCGTTGGCCGCCAGGTCGATGCTGGCCACCCACTGCCCAGGGGGAGAGGAGGCTGGTGAGCCGCGGGGCCGCCGCCCGCCCGCCCGCCCGCAGCCCCCCGGAGCTGTTACCCAGTTGCGGGCGGCGAAGTAGCGCACGCAGTGCGAGCCCAGCGCGCCGCCGCCGCCGTACACCAGCACCCGGCCCGCCGCCATGCCCAGTGCTAGTGCTGCTCCTGCTGCTAGTGCTGCTGCTGCTGCTCGTGCTGCTGCTGCGCCGCGAGCGCCTCGCCGCGCATGCGCCCTGCGCCGCCATGGCGGAGGCGGGGACGCGGCCGTTACGACCGTTGCGGGAGTAACGGACACGGAGGTGCTAAACGCTGCCCCCTCCGGCAGCCCGTGGCGGTTAACGGACGGCAGAGCTTTATGAGCGGCTTGAGCCGCCCTGACAGCGCTGGTATTTAGAGAGCGCCGAAGGAAAGCAGGAGGATGCGGCTGAGGCGGCAGCACGAGCCCCGCGCCGGTTACAGTGTTAGTTCCTTGTCCCTTGCACACAATGCCATCTTCTTAATAATTAAAACAAACAAACAAACAAAAGATTCTGCAGCTGTTTCTCTTCCCACGCGGCTATGGTGGAGAGGTGGATGTCATTCGAGCAGGACATTTAACCTGCGATGAAACAGTAGCCGCGCGTGGCTATAGGGTTACGGCTCGGCTCCGAGGAGCCCGGCCACGCCAGCGCGCGGCGAGGCGGCCGCCACTGCGGAGCTCGCCGCCACACACGGCTGTGCGCTTCTGTTTCGCCTGCGCGGTGTCAGTGCAGGAGCTTCAGGACACCATGAGGTGTACATTGAAAGGCTTGCTCGTCATTTGTGGGTTTTGGAGCAACCGAAAAAATGGGAAATACACCTAATTGCTGCGGAGAGGCCTTGGAGAGGATTCCTTGAGACCACTAGGATGCCTGGCTGCTTTAAAAAGACTTTATTTGCCCTGGCTTCTATAATAAGTTTTGCGTCTTTTATCGTGATTCTTGTTGCCATGGGGACCCAAAAGTGGATGACCGGAAAGATCCTTTGCAAAACAGGAGTCGATTTAGTCAATGCCACCGATCCAGAGCTGGTCAAGTTCATTGGAGACATTTACTACGGACTCTTTCAGGGCGGCAAAACCCGTCAGTGTGGGTTGGGTGGGCGCCGCTCCAAATTCACAAGTAAGTACAATTTTGGTTGCATCTTCAGTCTAAAGTCTAGGTCAACTTAAAAAGGGCTGTGTTATTGTTTACAGAGCATGTGGTTTGCAAGTCATTACTATTAAATTTGTATTTGTGGCTCACTTTTGGTCTTTATAGTTTGGGATCCAAATGTGAATGTAAAATCTACATCTTTTGGGGCTAGATTTGTTTTTCAGTTACATTCTCAGATGTAATCCTAGAACCAAGAAAAAAAAATCCATAAGGCTGGAGAGAGCGTTTCCTTTGAATCTTTTGGACGGAGTGGAGCTCACTGTATCTGTCAGACAGAGCTACAGAAGGAAGGATGACTGGAGAGGTCCCCATAAGTCATAGTCACTCCTTAGCTGAGTGCTTCCCAGGCCAAGTGTTCTCTGCAACATCTCCATCCTTGTCTTCTGTGTTAGACTCCTCCCTCCCTCTTCATTTTTTCCTCCCTAAGAACTGAGGATTTATGTAGCTGATCTCACATATTTCTCTAACTGCCCTAATGTCTCAAAAGTACTCAGATGTTGATCTGTACTTTGGATTACTTTGAGTAGTCATTTACCATGTGCATTACTAGAAGTAATATTTTGCACTGAAGACCTGTGTCTTGGTGGAGCAATGCACAGAAACTTGAAGCGCTATAAATTGAGCCTCACCTGAATGACTGAGTCTCACCTGGGTGTGAGTTAAGCATGACCAGGCCCCACAGCCATGCTGTCCTGCCCCATCCCTTTCATACAGCTCTCTCCTTGTGTCCCTGGGGCCTGGGATTCTAGAGGGCTGCCCCTGACAAACACAGAAGCAAAGGCAGCATTCAGCAGCTCTGCGTTCTCCGTGTTTTTCGTGACCAGCGTACCCACCCCATTCACTAGTGGACCCACATTCTCCCTGACCTTCCTTTTGTTGTTRATATAKTTGAARAAGTTTTTCTTGTTACTCTTAACATCCCTTGCCAGATTTAATTCCAAATGTGCCTTAGCTCTTCTTGTAGCATCCCTGCATTCCCTGACAATGTTCCTGTATTTCTCCCAAGGGGCCTGTCCTTTCTTCCACATTCTGGATACTGCCTTCTTCTGCTGGAGTTTTGCCAGGAGCTCCCTGCTCATCCACCCTGGTCTCCTGCCCCCTCTGCCTGACTTCTTGCGCAGAGGGATGCACTGTTGCTGGGCATGGAACAAACGCTGCTTGAAAACTAACCAGCTCTCCTGGGCCCCTCTTCCTTCTAGAGTGCTAGCCCATGGGATCTTTCCCAGCAGGTCTCTGAAGAGGCTAAAATTGGCCCTCCTGAAGTCCAGGGTGGCAAGGCTACTTGCTGCCCAGCAGTGCTGGAATGTGGCTGTGCATTGACATAGTGCAGGAAATGGATGCAAAAATTAGATGCATGGAATAATTAGCTACAGAAAATTAGCTAGTTTCCCATAAGCCCTTCTCACTATCCTGGCTCACTATTACCCCAGGATGAGTTACTTGAAAGATAGCATCTTGAATTTCTGCATTCTGCATTTTGTACAGTACAACGCTTTGTGAATAATCTGCTAAAACTCAGATCTGTTTATTTGTTTCTAATATGATGTATCTTCTTTTAGTCATATAATTAGACAGTTGCTCCTTCAAAACCTGTATGAGCGTGCAGCGCTTAACTTCCTCATCGCTTCTCTCAGTCAGCTCACGTCTTTCCTGCCAGCTCCAGTTCCTGCTCACGTTTCCCCTGGTTTTGCTACTAAAGAGCTCAGGATAAACTGAGTGCTCAGTGCCACATAGCTCCCTGCTGCTGGCTGGTTTGGCCCTCCAACTACGTAACTCTGGCTATGAAAACAGGAATAGATGAAGCAAGGCACCATTCTTGCTTCTTTGCTGTAGTGACAGATAAATGAAAGCCTCGTGAACCAAGAGGTGTGTAGCCAGTGGCACTGACTGCATCTCTAAAAGCTCACCTGAGAATAACTGGAGCGCATAGCCTGAGCACTGTGTGATGTTTACTGTTGTCAAGAAAAACTACATGCTAAGCAAATTGTTTTTTTTTTTTTTTTTTTCTTGACAGTTTTCCCCCATATGGTAAAAAAGCTGAATACAGGCCTGCACGTGATCATTATAATGTTCCTTTGTGCAGCCCTGTCCTTCTCTCTGGTCAGTTTTGGATTCTGCATCCTTAACGCAATCAAAGTTCCCTACCGTGCTATTAAAGGTCCAGCAGGATTATGTCTTTGGAATTTCCTTGCAGGTAAATCATTTACAATTATTTTTCCACCAGTCATATTCATATAAAATGCAAAACCTACTTCCCTTGTCTTATATCTTTTTGATATAAAAACTTCTAAATAAACTGAGGGTAGCAGTAAATTCTCATTTATCAAAACAGAACTGTCAGATGGTGTTTCCACTTTTTTTTGTCTAGTCAGCATTTTACAGGACCTGCAATGTCAGTCTTCTGCTTTCAAAAAACTCCAAAAGGACTTTATTATAAGCACTGCTATAATGTTTAGTCATATAATAAAGACTAAGCATTTTGCAGGTGTTTAAGCTATGCCTTAAAACTATCCCTGTTCTGGGTAAATACCTATGCACTTTATAAGCTTTTCCAAAGCACAATCAGGATGTCCAGCTTATTTTGCCAACAGTGCTGAGTACTTTCTCATTTTATTGCAGGTGGACTTATAGTACTTGCAGTTACCAGCTTTATGGCTGCTGTAAAACTTCACCAGCTCACAGAAAGAATTGCCAATTTTCGGGAAAATGTCTTTCAGTTTGTAATTCTAGAAGAACAGTTTGAAGACTCTTTTTGGCTTTGTGTGGCAAGTGCCACAGCACATGCAGTAAATTTGTTGGTAATAGCCATAAGTGGGATTAATTTTCCTCAAATTAAGACTAAAACAGAAGAAGCAAATGTTGCACCGGAAGATATCATGTACTAATACATAAAAATGATGATGAAGCGAACTGTCACAACAAAAGCAGCTTGGCTCTTCAGGTTTGATTTGGATGGACAATTTTGGTGCAATCATCAATTGATGCCACTTGCAAACATCTTCAGTAATTTTTAAGGTCCGTCTACACTACCAGCAATTAATGGTGAGCGTGGGAAAAAGAAATGCTAGAAATGCTAGAAATATCTTCATGTTCAAAACAGACCAAGAAATACAGTGAATATGCAAGCTACTGTAGTTTTTACAAAACTTGCATATGAGATATGTTAGAGAACTGTGGTGAAAAATGCATTTTTTGTTTAGAAAGAAATATATGTATCATAAACCTTTGATAATACAGATTTCTTTCAAAAAAAAAAAAAAAAGAATAGACACCTGACAATTACTTTTTCAAAATTATCTGCAAAATCTGAGAGGACGACATGAGGTATGGTTGATGACGTGCTACAGCACTGGAAAAGAAAACGTCAGTATCTGAGAAGCTAAAGTTTAGGAGAAACACAGAGCTAAGTACATGTGAAAATGGTTTTAAAACAGAAAACATCAAACCCTAGAAGATGAAGAAGTGAGAAAAAATTAAGTTTATAGAATGCTGATTAAAAAGAAAACAAAATGTAATTACCGACAATATGAAAGTTTCATTGCAGCTTCTCAAGGGAAAGGAAAGAATCCAAGTAACAGTGTTTTCAGATCACCTGAAAAATAATATTATGACAGATTAATAGTCATTAATAGTCATTCATGCCTCTGGCAATTTTTTTTTCTTTTCCTTGAAATCAAGTAAAAATAATGAATGATGGAATGGCACTAAAATGAAAACAAAAATTTTAATGGTTAAAGGAATTTAAAAGTTACTTTGTGATTAAGTACCAGAATTTTCACAAGCATTCAACCAATCTTCATGGCCACATCTGAAGATTCATGTGGAGGTTCATTCCATAGTGAACATATACTGACTTTTTAGTGATAGAAATTACAGATAATGGAAGAATATCTTAACATTAATTAAAGAAATTATCATCTAAATTAATGTTTAGGAGTTATTTTGCAGTCAATTACAGTCAAACCATTAGATTTGCCAACTCTACTATAGTGAAAAGCTCTTCAAAGAAACAATAACATTTTTTAGTAAAGAGATCCGAAGTGTTAAAAGAACGTGTCAAGATATAAAATATCCATGATTTTTATTTGAAAATACCTTTTCACAAAAATAGCACTATAAAGGCCTACTATTTTCAGAAGTGCCTATTTTATGTATCCACATAGCTGACTTTATCACCCATATGTGCAGAACACCCAGTAAAGGCAGGTATCTGAGTAAGCCGGTATTCAGTATGTTTGCTGACTAGGCCACTTACTTAGATAATTACATAAGGACTTTTAGCTTAAGCCTCTGAGTTTAACAACTTTGGCCCAAATACTTATTTTTCTTGCCCTTTTCACTTTGTGGTTTTTTTTTTCCTGGAGACCAATGAAAAGGCTGTTTTATGGAATTAAATCTCTTTCCCTTCAGTATTCTTATAAAATCAGTTTTACCGTTACGATATGCTGCCTAAAGTACTCTTAATTTACAAAACAGACCCAAGCCACAGCATTCACTGAACAAGCAGGTTGTATAACCTGGACAAAGAAAGGCATTCTTGAGCACCTTTTTCCAGCAGTTTATGTTCAAGCAAGAAAAGCAGTGAAAATGATGCATTTCATGCACAGCACATGTTCATCGAGAGCCGCACACGTCTAGTGCTCAGTGCTGCTCCTTGCTTGTCTTGGCCCAACAAGGAGGAACAGAAATTGGTGAGAGACTAATTACTTTTCGTAGCACACCCTCCTTCGGGAGCACTAAAATAAATAACAAGACTCTGTTAAGATTTCAAAGGCAGTTGGGGTGTTTTGATGGGTCTGGAGCACTGCTACGATTTTAGTGTGAAGGGGGCTCAGTAGCAACTGGGCAGCAAGCCCAGTTCCTGGCCCAGTTCCCGGTACTTAGAGCACAGCACTAGCCGCAGCCAGGCCCACACTGGTGGCCTCCGTGCCACCACCTACCCCTTCCAGCAAACTTCAAGGGGCTTCAAAATATAATACCTTAAATTGCAATATAATTATACAAGTAGTTCAATATAAAATAAAATACTTGTCATTTGTAATTGTTCTATAAACATGTAACTCACTGGTACATTAAAAATATATTGTAACACACGATTTATCCATTACTAAATGTAACTCTCATTAGGAAGTGAGAAGAAAGCAGATTTAGAGATCCTTGATATAGAGACAGCGTCAGGAATTATTTTCAGTAGTACTATTTGCAGACATACACAGTCTTCATTGTGCGTGAGGAACTGTGTAATGCCCCCAAATCAATCACAGAGCAACAGCAGCGGGAGCGCTCGCTGCCAGGTAAGCACCAGGGGGTACGGAGAAGCCGCAGCCTGTCCTCAGAGAACTAGAGACTGCCCTAAGTAGGGCAGACCATCCTAAGTAAGGGAAGGAAAATAAACCGCTTTTGTTCTTAATGTTGTGATGTAAGGTTTGAAATTCAATTTCACGGAATAAATCCCATCGGATGCCATTTCCTTCAGGCCTCGTCCCTGAAGGACGCCATCCTTACCAGGCGTCGGGCACTTCTGCGGTGGGCCCAGGCCCGCCTGTGGCGCCACCGTGACCGAGGCGCTTGGCGAGGCTCTCCCGAGGAAAGGCTCCGCGGGCACATCCACCGGCCCCTTCCTCACCGCCACATCTGCCCCTTTCCAGCGCCACTCTCAGGTAGTTACTGCTCTCTATTACAACCTGCCCGGCCCGGCCCTCACAGGCCGCCCGGCCTCCCGCTGCTCGCCCTGCCTGGCGATCGAGTAATTGCGTTTTACCCTGTAGCGGGCAGTCCGTATGCACAGCATGCGTATCAAGGATCCGGTATCTATTTATTTTAGATACGGGACGTGCTTGCAGCACAAAACCACACAAACAAATAAATAAATAAATAAAGGGAGAGGCGGGAGCGGCCCCGCGCCCGCCTCCCGGGGCGCGGCCTGGCCAGGCCCGCGTGCCGCGGCCGCCATGTTGCTGCGCGCCGCGCGGCGCCTGGCGCGGGGGGTCCCGGCGCGGGGCTGCGGCCGCCGGGCGGGCGCGCAGGTGAGGGGCGCCCCGCGCGGGGCGGACCCTTCCCCGGGGTGCGGGGCAGGGGCCGCCCGGCTGCAGAGCCGGCGGCCGGCGGCTCTCCCCGCCGCTTGCCGGTCGGACCGAACTTGCCGGGCCGCGGGCCGGGGCGGCCGAGCCCGCCCGCGCCGCCTCACTGCCCGCGCGCTCTGCTCCCTTCCCAGGGCCTGGTGCTGGGAGCCTACTCGGGCGAGAAGGACGGCGGCGCCTGCCAGCTCACCGGCGCCGGGGATGCTTTCGACAGGCTCGTGTCCGGGAGGCTGCGGGAGCTGCTGGCGCTGTGAGTGCCGCAGGGCCGGGCCGCGAGCAGAGCAGGCGGAGCCCGTCTCGCTCGGCTCGTGCCTGTGCCCGCTCTGCCGGGCCGAGCAGAGCGAGCGCCCGAGGAAAACCCGCGCGCGCGGGCAGGGGATGCGGGAGGCGTCGGGAGGGGACGTTTGCCGTGCGGCGGCACCGAGCCCCGTGTCCGGTACCACGGGGGGAGCACTGCGCGCTGCTGGAACGAACTGCCTCAAAAACTGCCTCCCATAAGTGATTTCCACTGGTGGAAAGATCCTTTTTGTGTTCCAGATCCGGGCCGCCTCTGAAGAAGGGCAAAACCCGCGTATTCCATGGTTTGCATCAGGTACGAACGTTGCTTTCGGTAGGTGTTTATCTATTAATGCAGGAGACTTGCTGTGACATCTTGTCTTAAGCTGAGTTCAGGGTTGTGCTAGCATGAATAGGACACCTCTGCCTTTCCCCCCAACCAAAGACGTGGTCTGTAGTGCAGTGCTCTCCCTGTGCTCCCCACATGTATGGTTGTTTTTGCACAGCCCAGTGCTGCCTTCGCTTTGCTGCGAGTTCTTGCACAGAAACACGCTTTGCACGGAGCGTGCCGTATTTAATGCTGTGTTTGCTTTGATTTGAAGAGTGAGGCCTTCATAGGCACTCTGTGCTGTGACAGCGAGGAAGGTGAATCTGTTCGTGTGTTGGCTTCGTGTAGGACTTCCCGAGCGTGGTGGTGGTTGGCTTGGGCAAGAAGAACGCTGGAGTAAACGACCAAGAAAACTGGAATGAAGACAAGGAAAACATCCGTGCAGCTGTGGCAGGTTAGGCTTTTCTTTTTTGTTCTTTTTTCTCTCTAGCTTATGTGTTTTGTCCGTGAAGCTGGTCAGGATGTGGCATGTCCCATTTTTGTCAAGTGAGTCTAGGTATGTTTTATTTTGAAGTGCAAGACACACAACATGGGTACGAAAATCCAGTCACTTGTCACTGACATTCATGAAGCTTTTCCTTAGTGTGGAAGGAGCTGTAGGGCACCCATTCTACAAAAATGCATCTTTTGTTGAAATTTGGTCTTTATTAGGATACTAAGCCAAATGTAAATCAATCTGCTCAGGTAATTCTGAATATTTATAACTAGTAGCTTTTTTAAACAAATTTTTAAGCAATGCTTAAAAAGGCTTTTTTTTAATTCTAATTTGAAGCTTGAGAGTGTCAGTTTTATGCTCTCACTGTACTTAACTATGCACATGTATTTATGTCTGTGGCTGTAGACTGTATTGCAAACTGTGGTGTCTTTCACAGTGTGAGTGGTGGGGTCCCTTATCGGGCAGGCCCAGGAGGCCTTTTTGTTGTGTTACTGAAACTGTGACCCGTGAGCACTAGGATGCAGCTATGAGCTGCCCTATAACTTGATGAATATTTTCAGGCATTTCAGTTTGCAGACAGATAAACCCATCTTTATCCTTACAAGCAAATCCATTATTTTTAATACTTCCCTGCCTGGAAGCTCGCTGTTTTAATCAAAGATGAGTGCTGCATCATGTCTAAGCTTGTATAAATCAAGAATAGAAAGAGTCCTTGCCATAGAGTTTATAACGTG